AGGATATCCGTTTCCAAGTCAAAGGCAGTTCCGGTCAGGGTTGGCTTGACGTGCCTTCCTCTTGGCACATTTCTCCCTTTGGCCCTCCGTTCATACCTCTTCGAATTCCACAGCACTACTGATCACAGCTGACCTCCAGCTAGAGTGCTCAAGGGCCAGGGCTTCCCAGTTCTCAGTGTCTATGCCACAGTTTTTAAGGTTAGCTTTAAGCCCATTATTTATTTATTTATTTACCATATTTATATACCGCCTTTCTCAGCCTGAAGGTGACTCAAGGCGATTTATAAACGGCAGAATTCAATGCCCCCAACCAGGCCTGTAGCCAGGATTTTTATTCGGGGGTGGGCTGAGTTTGATTTGGGGGAGGCTGAGCCTGAGTGAAAGAGGGTCTACCCTAGCAAACCTTTGGTATCGTTACCCCAATACCCCGATGCATATGGGATATATTGAGCATGGTGATCAGATCATGATATGAATAAACATAACAGTTTAAATAATGTACCAGTAAGGCCTTGCGGACCACCCTCAGAATTTGGGGAGGGGGCTGAAGCCCCTCAAGGGCCCCCCCCCCCCGGCTACATGCCTGCCCCCAACAATGCAAAAATGTAATTAAAAACCTTTAACATAAATACAAGAACCACAGGAATCAATAAAAGCCAATAAAAACATAAATCCTCAGCATCTCATTACTAAAATCATTGTCCAATTGCATTGCCCATCTTTAAATCTCTTTTCCTGTCCACCAACAACTCAGTCAAAGAGCCAGTGTGGTGTCATGCATAAAACGGCTTAAGGTGATCATTACATGGCTTTCACTATTTGGGCTGTAGAACTGATGTACCATTAAACTGTGCAGAAATGCATTGGGCTTTCCTCTGGTTGCTTTTGTCACTTCTCAGCCTGTGCTCTTGGAACAGGCTGGGCAACAAATTAAGGTGAATAAATGACAAATACATCCCAGGAATCTATTAGCCAAAAGAACAACTGTCAAATGTGGCCACAGATCAGCACACAACCCCAAGGTCACACATCAGCACATCCGTGGGAATCTTATTATGCTTTCTCCCCGCTCTCCGGGGTTTGATTGCAATTGGCACATTACATAATTTGCAGGAAAGCAGCAAAAATCTTGGCAGCCATGCCAGTCTGCACTGTAGTGTTTCATACCATCTGCTCCTGAGTACATCTAAATGTGACTGGCATTCTGTTACTGCCACTGAAAAACAACTATTATAATCACAAGTTATAGTTATAATAATGTTTGTGTCACTTGGGGGAAAGAGATCTATATGGAAAATGAGAAAATGTGATCCGAGTGAGAAATTGTTTTCAAGCCATGACTTATGGAACTGACTGCGGGAAAGTCTGTTTTGTATGTCAGTCATGTGCTACACTTTCCTTTTGTTTTCTCCTTTCTTGAGCTGATCATGCTAAATCTTGACTTGTGGAAAATGTGACAGAAGCAGCGCGCTGTATTTCCTGTGTCAGAGTGACTTGAGACTCAACAAAAAAAACCACAATACTTATTTCTGGTAGTGATGCGGCAGTTCTGGAAACAAAAGGGCTACAGAAGCATCTTTCTTCCTCTTCTTTTTAAAGACCAAAACTATTTGCGACAATCTCGAGTGGAAACATTTACAGCCCGGCGGAACAGGGCGTGTTGTCCCTTGCACAGACAAGGCATTCAAAGTGTCAGCCCCATTTCTTTCCTTTGCCTTATAAATAGTACATTCCAATGCCACATTTGAGATAAAGGAACAGGTGCCACAAGCTGTCACTTACAAATATAATTTCATGGCAGGGGAGACGGGAAATCAAGCTGTATACAGTTCTTTCAGAAGCCAGAAGGGCTTTGAAGTACTGCTGCAATGCACCAGCCAAATAAAGCTAGAGGGACTTGGAGGGTCAAACTCATCTGTGATATCAGAATACATTGTCTCTTTCACAGAATGCCAGTGGCCAGTTGCAACTAATTTCTCCCAATGAGCCCCGGTGGCTAATATGTCCCACCATCAAAGTTATCATCCACCCAGACAAAAAGGATTCACTTCCAGGACTGGCATGGTGAAATAGCTGCCTTGGGCAGCAGATTTAGAGTGTTAGGAAAGGGCAGCAAATTGTTATTTAATGTTGTCATTTCACAGTCACAGATGGAGAAGAAGCGCTCAGGGGATTTTCTGCCTTCTGTGCCAAAATACCTTGGCCGGCTTTCTGTACTGTGTACTCAGATTCAGGGGGTGGGAGTAACATTTGCTGTTCCGCCTCAAGCAGCATAATATACTGGGCTGACCCTCTTCCTTCCTCTTTTTTGGAATTAATATTAGAAAAAAGAGAGACCACCTTTCTAATAATGCTGTTGTTGTTGTTTTTCTCCTGCTGCTCCTATGGAGGTCTCTGATGTGTTAGGTGTCCCACAGAATGGACACCTTCTGCTTGTTTTACAAAATACATAGACACCAGTGGACTGCCCATCTGATTTCATAACAGGCTGAGCTTCCGTCATGTCTAGTGACAAGCTGCTGCTTGGTAATTTTAGACTCTGAAAAGAACTGGCGGACTCACTTTAGATGTCAAGATGTTTTGCTTCATTTTCTCTGAAATTTGGTGAGCCATATTTGGTGAGATTGCTGGGGTTTCAGGGGGAGGGGAGTTCCTACCTATTCTGCTGAGTTGGTCCCTCATTTTTTGCCAAATTTTTGCCAAAATTCATTCCCATGACATCACTGCTAGGAACATTTGCCGGGTGCCAAACATGCCATAGATTATGAAGGTGACAATTAATCTTAGGCCCTTTCCACACACAGCTGAATAAAATCCCCCATTATCTGTTTTGAATTAGACTACATGGCAGTGTGGACTCAGATATCCCACTTCAAAGCAGATGCACTTTAGAGGCCAGATTTGCTCAGCAGAAATCCTCCATGTGCCTTCAGAATTTCCTTTGCGCCAAAGAATTTCCTCCTTTATCTCATGGATTGCTTGCCTGCTTGAGAAAAATCTATGAAATACAGTCCTATTGGCTGCTCTCAGCCCTGATTATCCAGGTAGTGGCGGCATCACGATATCTCTCTGCCTTGTCAGTTTCCGACTACAAAAGCTAGAACCACAGCAGTAGCTATGTCTATCTGTGATTTCAGCAACAGCAAGCTGGGTTTTCACTGTAGTGCTGCTCCATGTTTTCCCCCCACTGACAATCACAGGGAAGGGCGCCCTCTTGTGGCCGGATGGCATCACAACAGTTGACATATTCACATTGTTTTCCTTTTACTGTTTAAGAGCTGTTAGATTAATTTAAAAATATTGTTTTTAAATACTAGCACAAGATTTTTGCATTACCAATAGCAACAAAAGGAATGAATAATCTGGAGGTGAATAGTAATGAATGTAATATAAAGACCATAGCTCAGGGATGGGCAAACTTGGGCCCTCTGGATGTTTTGCCTCAGGCCCTTTCCTTTTCCCCCTCAGCCGATTAAGCGGCTGGATTATGCTCAGGGCTTGCTGCTGTTAGAATGGTTGATATGCCTTGTTTGTGAGGAAAACCCACATTGTTTGTGGAGATTTGTCAAACAATCTTTACTGTGAAATATACCAAAGAAGAGGTTGGAGTCAGGGTGTGTCTACACTGAAGAATTTAAGCAGTGTGATATCATTATCTGCCATGGCTCAAAGCTAAGGAACCAGGGGCTCTTCTGGTTCCATGTAATTTTACAAAGTCTCGTGCCTTCTCTGCCATATAGTGCTGGTTCCTTATCAAATGACAACTCCCATGATTCCACAGCATTGAGCCATGACAGTTAAAGTGGTATCAAACTGCATTAATTCTTTAGTATAGAAGCAGCCTTAATGGCCTCCTTCCAACTCTATCACTGTTTTGGAGGGTATAATGACACAACCTATTTCTCCTGCTCCTTTCCTGATAAGTTTTCCCCATTTATCATTATTGTGATAATATTTGACATATTCTCAGTTGATCTGAAGAATGTCTCCCATACAACGACTGTTTGTTTGCTTGCTTTTCTTAATTCCATGTTTTATTTCCTAATCTTTTGTGCTTTCGCATTATGCATGTATGATAAAGGATGGCCTATAAATATTTCAAATAAAGAATAACAAATGGCTCTTCCTAACAATTACTCCTGAATATGTCGCTAAAATGTGGACACTAAGAAATAAGATGCCACCATCAACATGCTTTGAGGAATCCGGGGGGGGGGGGGGATGCACACACAGCTAAAGGTCTCCAAAATGGCATGAAGAAGCTTGAGCATGCTCTGTAGCCCAGGAATGTTTGGGGCAGAGGAGCAAAACGTTGGTGGGGATAATATGGAGAATCTTTCCTTATCTCAGTGCACCAGATCCTGGCTGATCTGGGAAGCTAAGCAGGAGTAGCCCTAGTTAGGACTGGCCTGGGAGACTGCCAAGGAATAGCAGGTGCCGTGGGCCATATTCCCTGGCAAAACAGTCTATGAGGATTCCTTGCCTAAAAAATTGCAACAAAACATATGAGGTTGCCAGAAGCCAACAAGAGACTTATAGGCACCTACAGCCACATCTGTCCTTCCCAGGCTTGTGGCTGGAGTTCAGTGGCCCAAATCCCTACCAGCATGGTTAGAGGCCCGGAATTCTGGGTGTTGTCGTTCAATAATACCTGGTGGATCCAAGATGAGGAAACTCAGCCCTATAGCTAGCTGGCATCTAGTTGCAGATCTCCCTTGTTTACTAATGTGCTGAGAACTTGGACAATATGTTGTCGAAGGCTTTCATGACCAGAATCACTGGTTTGCTGCAAGTTTTCCCAGCTGTATGGCCATGTTCCAGAAGCATGTTTTGCCTGAATCTATGGCAGGCATCCTCATCTCACAACCTCTGAGGATGCCTGCCATAGATGTGGGCAAAATGTGAGGAGAGAATGCTTCTGAAACATAGCCATAGAGCCCAGAAAGCGCACAGCAATCCAACTTGGACAGTGTTGATAAATCAATTTTGTTTGTACCTACAGTCAAAATGAGTATGGAATTCTCCAGGACCGTCTTAGCGTTGCCGATCCTTGATTTGTTTGTTTATGTTTTGCACGGCTTTTTAAATCTATGATGGGTTTTCGGTGGCAGCTGTGGCTGTTTTCCCCGCATCGCTGAAGGCGAAAGGGAGCCTCCGAAGCCTGCAGAGTGACGTGTCTGGGAGACCACGCTGAAAAAAAAAAAACAGAAAAGAAGATGAAATAATAATAAGGAAATCCTGAGCCTGCGCAGTGAGAGGGGGGATGCTCGGACATGATCAGAATGTCATTGCAAGGAAGCGGTCCAACCTGGCTGCCCCCCCTTCCCCTTCCCTGATGTGTTATGGACCTGGATGGGGGAGATCCAATAATAAAGCATCAATGAGGGGAGGGGGGTTAAATCACCCTTTTGAGCCCCAGAGGAGGATTGAGGGGAGAGAGTGCATTTCTTACAGACCTGGATAGGGCAAAGGCAACGGGGAGGGGGGGGGGGTGTTCAACAGCAAACCATTCATGATTAAAGAGTGAAGAAGAATCGCCCCCTCAAGTCTGTAAAGTGTGGGTCCCAATGGAAGATCTGGGGGGATATTTGTGATGGATTTTGTGTTGTGTGTGTTTGTGTGTGTGTCAGGAGCGACTGCAAGTTGCTTCTGGTGTGAGAGAATTGGCTGTCTGCAAGGATGTTGCCCAGGGGATGCCGGGATGTTTTGATGTTTTCTCATCCTTGTGGGAGGCTTCTCTCATGTCCCTGGCATGGGGAGCTGGAGATGACAGGGAGAGCTCACCCTTGCTCTCCCCCGATTCGATCCTCTGACCTCTGGTGTGAAAGAATTGGCTGTCTGCAAGGATGTTGCCCAGGGGATGCCGGGATGTTTTGATGTTTTCCCATCCTTGTGGGAGGCTTCTCTCATGTCCCTGCATGGGGAGCTGGAGCTGACAGAGGGAGCTCATCCGCACTCTCCCTTGATTCGAACCTCCGACCTGTCGGCGTCGGTCCGCAATCCTGCCGGCACAAGGGTTTAACCCACTGCTGACACCGGGGGCTCTTTGTGATGGATGCAACAATAACAAAGCATTTTTGATGATGATGATCATCATCATCATCATTTCCCCGCTTAAACAAGACTCAAACATGATGGGACTGCAATGATCACAATTGGGGGAGAGGATAGCCTTCCAAAAAAATCTCCCACTCGAGTAAATAAAAAAAAGAGTGGTGGTCCCTCTGAATCCATATTGTTATGGATGACAACAACAACAAAACGTCAATGATGAAGATGGGAGGGGGAGAGGATAGCCTTCCAAGAATGCCCCCTCCCCGTGCAATGATAACAGGCAGGTGCCTCCTCCTCTCTTTCTCCCTCCCTCCCTCCTCCTCTCTCTCTGGCAGTGGATGCTGAAGGTTTCCCTCCCAAGGCTGGGATTCCTCCTCCTCCTCCTCCTCCTCCTCTTCCCCACGTGCACGGAGGGGAGGGGCTGCCCTGCGTGGGCCTGGGCTTCGGGGGCTCTGCAGCGCGCGCCCCTTCCTCCTTCCCTTTCCTTTCCTTTCGCTCGGAGTCCCCCAGGACTGCGGGGGAAGCGCTGGCGGAGCCGGGCGGGCGGCCGCGCAGGCGCAGTGCGATCTCACTGCGTCTCAGGGTCCCGCCTGGGCCGGAGCCAAAGGGAAAGGAGGGGGGAGGACACAGAGTGAGAGAGAGAAGGGGGGCGGGGATACCCAAAAAAGTGAGTTCCCGGGATTTCTCCTTGCAGCGGAGGAATCCCTGCGCCGCCGCTGCTGCTGCTGCTGAAGCCGGGAGAGGAGCGAATCCCACCTGATGCTGCTGCTGCTGCCGCCGCCAAAGAAAGACCCGCAGTGGCAGCCAGGAAGGGCGAAAGGGTGTCGTTCGTCCCTCGGCCGGCAGGGGGCAGCGCCGGGCCGCCTCGCCAATGCAAGCAAGCAAGCAAGCAACTCCCCGAGATTCCCCCGCATTTCGCATCATCAGGAAATTCCCTTTGACGCGAGGATGCCTCTGCTGCAGCCCTCGCCTTCTTCTTCTCCTCCTGCAGTGCGCGCGCCGCTTGGCACGGAGCCCGCGTGGCAGCGCATCTCCCTCCCTCCCAGCCCAGCTCCCCCCCCCACCGGAAGCATCAAGCCCCTTCCTCTACTTCTGAGCAGATACATAAAGACCCCCTCCCCCCATACATATATATACACAGTGGGGAAAGGATCCTAAAGGCCATCAAGCCCAACCAACCTGGAGGCGCAAACCCCCCCCCCCGCCTACACAGTCTTGGTTAGCCATGGGCAAACTTGGGCCCTCCCTCCAGGTGTTTTGGACTTCAACTCCCACCATTCCTAACAGCCTCAGGCCCCTTCCTTTTCCCCCTCAGCCGCTTAAGCGGAGGGCCAAAGTTTGCCCAGGCTTGGTGGGAGTTGGAGTCCAAAACACCTGGAGGGAGGACCCAAGTTTGCCCATGGCTCGTCTTGGTATTTTTCCTTGTATCCCCCTCCCCCCCTTGTATCCCTGGTGGAAACAATAATCGTTATGATATGGGAAATAGGCTGGGGGAATAATCAGCAAAGATTGTAGACCTCCCCCCCCCCCCAATAAAATGGACTGTCCTTCTCTGTCTAGGCCCCCTTGTGGAGTCCTCCCCCGGATTATGGAACAGTACCAAAACAATTTCCGCTGGACTCTGCTTGCAAGGACAGCCACCCAGGAGGCCTGACAGGAAGAACCCCTCATTCCAAGATTCAATAAGATGGCAGATTCCTAGAGCTGGAAAATTTTTCGGCCCCCCCCCCCCGGGTTACTGAGTCCAGCCTATGCAAAAGCACACCAACAAAGCACCCCCGACAGATGGCCATGCAGGGAAGGAGTCACCACCACACTACCAGGCAGAAGATTGCAGGTTAGAAGGTCATCAAGCATTTTGATTGACAAAAGAGGGAGAAAATCTTTTTTCCCCAGTTTCAGGGGTCTACACAGCGCGGCTGAACCGCTTTAGAAGCGTGTCCCATGGTAGGGTAGCCCTTCCCGCTAGCAAACCGTCGGTCGGTGCCCCCTGGCGGATGCTGGCGGGGTTGCACCGCTTGCTGCCCTGGCCCTGCGGCCCCAGAGCCCCGCCTGACTGTGCTTTGTTTTGAATCCTCCGCGCGCGCAGGGGAGGGAGGGAGGAGGAGGGAGTCCCCCTCGGCTCGGACAATGGCGCGCGCCAGAGGGTTAGAGAGAGAAAGAGAGAGAGAGAAAGCGCGCGCGCGCCGCTCTGCGGCGCGTGGCCCCAGTGGGCAGCAATGGGGAGACCGCGGGCTCCTCCCTCCCTCCTCCTCCTTTTCCTCGCAGGTCTCTCCTGGCCGCTCCCCCTCCCGCCCCTGCCGGAATTGCCATATTAGGAGCAGGAAGACTCGCTCCGGAACAAGGCCTTATTAGGTCATGGCCTTATATGGTCTTCGCGTCCGGGGACTTCCGGCAGCCGCGGCGGCTGAAGCTTGGAAACGGGGGGAAACCCGCGCGCGGAGGGAGGCGGGGAAGGCGCGGAAAGTTCTGGCTCGGAGGACGGGACCCGAGCGGGGGGAGGGGGGCAACTATTCCCCCCAGGCTGCGGCGCAAAGCTCTTGATGGGCGGCTGTAGCCTGGTGCCCCCTCCCCCGTTTCCCTACAGAGGAGGGCTCGGCTTCCCCCAGTGTCAGTCTCTGACGCCAGGCGGCGGGGTCCTCTCTGCTGGCCGCCATATAAGGGCTTCCTGCCTCCCATATATGGACATGTACGTCACAAAAGGGGCGGGGCGAAGCCCGACCAGATCCGATATATAGAGGCTGCTCTGGGGCGGGCGGGGAGCTGAGAGCTGCCAGCGAAGCGAGCCAGGGGGAGCCCCAGGCCGGGAGGGAGGAGGAGCAGGAGGGACAGGCGAAAGGGAGCCCCGGGGAGGAGGAGGTGGTAGCAGTGAGGGAGGGAGCCCCGGCCCGAGCCCGGCCGCCCCTCGCCGCCTCCAGCCCCAGTGTAAGCGCCCCATGGCCGCGGCCAAGGCCGAGATGCCGCTGCTGCCCTCGCTGCAGATGGCCGACCCCTTCGGCGCCTTCCCGCACTCGCCCCCCGCCATGGACGCCAACTACCCCAAGCTGGAGGAAATCATGCTCCTGGCCGGAGCCGGGCCCCACTTCCTCAGCGCCGCCGCGGGCCACGAAGGAGCCGGAGGGGGATTCAACCCCTCCGGAGACGCCGCCGAGCAATCCTTCGAGCACCTCGCTGCAGGTAGGGCGCCCGGGGAGGAGGAAGGGGGGCATTCTCGGGAGCGGGGGGAGGGGGAGGAGGGGATCCCGGTGCAAAACGGGCGCGAGCAGGGAGGGGATTCTCCGAAGTGCGTCACCCTCGCGCTGCTGAGGCTGCTGCTGCTGTTTGGCATCTGGAGCCGCGCCAGGAGCTGCCATATGTTGCGCGGGGGGGGGGCACACATTCAGGGGGCTCCCATTCGGAGCAGAATTAAGGGGGGATTCCCCAACTTCGCCTGGAGGACCCCGCGTTGTGGTCCTGATATCCCAAGTGGGGTGCCAGTGTAGACAAGCCCTGTGTATGTATCCTACGCACACTTCGCACCTTTTCTGCAGAGGAAGCGCAGCCTGTTTTTAGCACGGCACGGGCGCGCGCGGACCTATCACCATCCTGGGCAGAAATGCGCGCTTTCCTGCACAACAGATGTGACAAGGAGAGGGAAATCACATTCAATCAAAAGAGTGGCGTCGAGTGGAGGGAGGGGGAGGGGAATGGGGGGGGCGCTCCCTTTGGTTCTGTGGGGACGGGACCCCTTGGTGGCTGGGACTCACGCCCCCGCCCTCTCTCTCTCTCTCTTCCCCGCAGACGCGGCCTCCTCCTTCCCGGAGCTCCCGCTGGGCGGCGAGAAGGGCCTGTCGGAGGGCGCCTTCCCGGGGCAACAGGGCACCACGCGCCTCCCGCCGCTCGCCTACACGGGGCGCTTCTCCCTGGAGCCCGCGGTCTCGGGCAACGGCGGCAACAACGGCGCCCCGCACCCGCTCTGGCCGGAGCCCCTCTTCAGCCTGGTCAGCGGCCTGGTGGGCATGGCCAACCCGCCCAGCCTGCCGCCCCTCTCCTCCGCCTCCTCCGCCTCCTCCTCTTCATCCTCCTCCTCCTCCTCCTCGCCCATCCTGCTCTCGGCTTCTTCGTCCTCCTCGTCGACGCTGGGCTGCTCGGGCCAAGGCAGCGAAGCGGGGCCCATCTACTCGGCGGCGCCCACCTTCCCGGGCCCCTCCTCCGGCTCGGGAGACCTCTTCTCGGAGCAGCCCTTCTCCGGCCCGCAGTTCCCGCCTCCTCCGGCTTATCCCTCGACGGCGGGCAAGAGCGGCTTCCAGCTGCCCATCATCCCGGACTATCTCTTCCCGCCGCCGCCGCAGCAGCAGCAACAGGCGTCGGAGCTGGGCCTGGGCGAGCAGAAGCCCTTCCCGAGCCCGCAGCCCTCGCTGACGCCGCTCTCCACCATCAAGGCCTTCGCCAGCCAGAGCAGCGCCGGAGCCGGGGGAGGCGGCGGCGGGCAGGAGCCGGTGGGGGGCAAGTCCGCTCCCGTCGCCCCGCCCCAAGGGGCCTCGAGGGCCCCGCGCCTGCGCAAGTACCCCAGCCGCCCCTCCAAGACGCCCCCTCACGAGCGCCCCTACGCCTGCCCCGTCGACGCTTGCGACCGCCGCTTCTCCCGCTCCGACGAGCTGACCCGCCACATCCGCATCCACACCGGGCAGAAGCCCTTCCAGTGCCGCATCTGCATGCGCAACTTCAGCCGCAGCGACCACCTCACCACCCACATCCGCACCCACACCGGCGAGAAGCCCTTCGCCTGCGACGTCTGCGGGAGGAAGTTCGCCCGCTCCGACGAGCGCAAGCGGCACACCAAGATCCACCTCCGGCAGAAGGACAAGAAGGCCGCCAGCGCCGCCGCCGAGAAGGGACCCTCGGGCCCGCCGGCGCCCCCCTGCAACGCCAACCCGCCTTTGCCCTCCTTCCCCTCGCCCGGCACCTCGTACTCTTCCTCCCCCGTGACGTCCTATTCCTCCTCGCCCGTGACGTCGTACGCATCCTCGCCCGTGACGTCGTACTCCTCCTCGCCTGTGACGTCGTACTCTTCCCCCGTGACGTCCCCCTTCCCCGCCTTCCCCTCGACGGCTACCAACTACGCCTCCTCCGCCTCCTTCCAGAGCCAGGCCTCTTTCTCCTCGCCGTCGCCCTCCTCGGGCCTCCTGGGAAGCCCCTTCGGCCCTCAAGTGACTCCTTCGGCCCTTTCCGACCTGGCCTCCTCCTTCTCCCCGAGGGCCATCGAGATCTGCTGAGGGGAAGGGAGGGAGAGGCGCCAGCCAAGCCCCCTTCGCACATTGGCTGACCATAGACTAGACGGGCATGGGATAGCTTGGGCCCTCTAGGTGTTTGGGGCTTCAACTCCCACCATTCCTGGCCTCAGGCCCCTTCCTTTTCCCCCTCAGCCGCTTAAGCGAAAAGGGGAAAAGGAAGGGGCCTGAGGCCAGGAATGGTGGGAGTTGAAGCCCCAAACACTTAAAGGTCCCAAGTTTGCCCAAGCCTGGATCCACAGTATTATAGAACCAGCCGTCGGAGAACCAGTCCAAGGCCCCGGATGGATAGTGTTTGTTTACACAAGAGCACTAAGGGCTGTCTCTTCTTTCCCGCGCTTTCTCGAACTGCACCCCCAGTGGTCAGCCCCCCAGAAAGACTCCCGCCAACCGGAGCCAGCCCTACCCTCTCCACTTCTGTCCGAAAGCTCTTTGAACCTGCATGGACTATATTATCGATGTCTTCGTTCCTCCAAGCCCTTCTTCCCCCCGCTGCCGCCGCCTGCCCTCCTCTCTCTTTCTTCCCCATTTGGGGACTGACTGACTTGACTGGACAGACTTTGGGGCCGAGACAGTGTGACCCTCTCTGTCCCCTTCCCTTCTGGGTCGGAAACAAGGGACCTCTTTGCCTATTCACGTTGCATTACTTGGAGGAGGAGGAAGAGGGCCAAGAGCCACCTGCCTCTTCTCTTTCTCTCTCTCTCTCTCATTATTATTATTTTTTTGTAAATTGTACTTTTTTTGCTCTTTTAGTGATTGACAACTTGTTTTTCGGGGAGGGCGGGGGCCGGGGAGGAGATAACAACAACAACAACAAAAACGAAGCAGCACTTAACTATGTATTTGAGCATGTCAAAACGAGTGTGATGTTCTTTGTAAATATCACCTTTGAGGATGAAACATTCTCTCTCTCTCTCATGTGGCAAAAAAAAAAAGGTTTTCCTTTGGTTGGGGTTTGGTTTTTCTCTCTCTTTCTTATTTTTCTCCCCTTTCCCCCCAAGTCTTTGGTGCCTTGTTGTGAAGCCCTGCTGACTGTCGTGTTTTTGTGTGAGTGGATGCTCTGCATCGCGCCTTAAAGGGGCAGGAAAAGTTGGGGTGCAAAGGGGGGCTCAGGAAGCCAAAAGGGTGGGAGGGGAGGAGGAGGAGGAGGAAGGAAGGAAGGAGCCGGATGGTGGAATGTAAGCAAAAACAACACCAATCAGAACCACCGAACTTCTCCACAGAAAAAAGAAGACAAAAAAAGAGTCTATTTTTGTTACAGAAGTGTACAAATTTATAAATATATTCAGCAGTTGGAATGTTGTAGTTTTACCTACTGAGTAGGCAGCAACTTTTTGTATGTTATGAACATGCGGTTCATTATTTTTGTGGTTTTATTTTTGGACTTTGTACTTGTGTTTGTTGAAACGAAAAGTGACTGTTTGGCTTTATAACACATTGAATGCGCTTTACTGCCAGTGGGATATTTGGTGTACAATAGCCTCTGGAAAAGTCAATAAAAATTATTGAGAGACCCTCTCCTTGGTCCCAGGTTTGTCCTGATCTCCCAACTCCCACCCCAGTGACACTTTCTGTCTCCCCAAGTGTGCTTTCTTTTTCTCTTTTTGGCCCTTTGGGCCCTATATCCCAGGATCTGAACTGTCTATCCCAGATTATCTGGCAGTGGGGACTCATATAATCCAGTTTAAAGCAGAAAACCTGGGATCAGATCCTGGGACATAGGGCCTGTCTGGAAGGGCCCTTGGACTCTGAAGCCACCAAAGCCTTCAAGGAAAACCTGTAGCCTGGTGTTCTCCCAATGTACTGAACTACAACACCCATTGTCCCCAAACTGGAGGAAGGGACACCCTCTGGAGATGATGGGGGGAGCTGCACCAAGAACATATAGGTCAATTATTCTCAACCTGTGAGTCCCTAGATGTTTTGGCCTTCCAACTCCCAGAAATCCTAACAGCTGGTAAACTGGCTGGAATTTCTGGGAGTTGTAGACCAAAACACCTAGGGACTACTGATATAGGTCATGGAACTGTCCCAGTTGTAAATTAATGCAGATCCTTCTCCTTGAGAGATTTGAGTGACATCTGCACTGCAGAATGAATGCAGTATGACACCGCTTTAACTGCTATGGCTAAATGCTATGGAATTTAAGAGAGATATTGACAAGTTGGAATGTGTCCAGAGGAGGGCGACCAAAATGATCAAGGGTCTGGAGAACAAGCCCTATGAGGCGCGGCTTAAAGAGCTGGGCATATTTAGCCTGGAGAAGAGAAGGCTGAGAGGAGACATGATAGCCATGTATAAATATGTGAGAGGAAGTCATAGGGAGGAGGGAGTGAACTTGTTTTCTGCTGCCCTGGAGACTAGGACGCAATGGAACAATGGCTTCAAACTACAAAAAAGGAGATTCCATCTGAACATGAGGAACAACTTCCTGACTGTGAGAGCCATTCAGCAGTGGAACTCTCTGCCCTGGAGTGTGATGGAGGCTCCTTCTTTGGAAGCTTTTAAACAGGCTGTATGGCCATCTGTCAGGGGTGCTTTGTATGCAATTTTCCTGCTTCTTGGCAGGGGTTGGACTGGATGGCCCATGAGGTCTCTTCCACCTCTATGATTCTATGAATTCTGGGCGCTGTCGTGTGACCTTTGGCCTTCTCCAAACTACAGTTTAGCTTCCCCAAACCACAACTTCCAGGATTCCATAGTATTTAACCATAGCATTGATTCAGTGATTCATTTTGATTCCTTTCTGGAGCAATGGAGATACATTTCAAAGCCCTGAGCCTGCTGGGACTCTTCCAGGAGGGGGGTGGTTAGACTACAACTCCCATTACCCTCATCCCACACCGCCTGCCCTGATAGGAAAGGGAGCCCCATAGCATTGGAGGAGCCACAACCTCCCTTGTTGGCAGCATTCCCTCCTTGTCTTGGGAGCCTTGGGTCAGGGGCGTAACAATTGGGGGAATGTCGCCTCGAGGCAATCTCCAAAAGCCTCCCTGCCTGACCCTGACCCCTCACTGTTTGGGTCATTGGAAGCACCAAAGGAGAAGAATGGCCAGGAGGGTGGAGGCACCCAGTGATGGATCATAGATGACGTGGAGCTTGGACACGGAAGGTCCTGTGTGGGTCACACAAGTTGGTTCCTAGGTCTTGGCCCCCCCCCCCCCGCCTTCCGCCATTGTCTGACTATTGATTGGCGGTGAAGATAGTGGGTGGGAGGGGGTGAGTGGGGGTTGCGGTGGGGGAGCTTGTGTCGCCCCCTTCGGGAACGTACTTATACCTGGGAGTGGATAGCCCACCAGCCTTCTCCCAGGCACCAGACCCCCGAGAATGGCCGAAAGGGAACGAAAAGGGTGCCCGAGCATGGCTAGTGGGGTTCAGTACTTTACTGCAGTGACTGCGTGGGCTCAGTAGAGCTGGTCGCAAAATGGGTCTAAGCCAGGCCTGGGCAAACTTGGCCCCTCTGGGTGCTTTGGACTCCAACTCCCACCATTCCTAACAGCCTCGGACCCCTTCCTTTTCCCCCTCAGCCGCTTAAGCGGACTCCAACTCCCACCATTCCTAACAGCCTCGGACCCCTTCCTTTTCCCCCTCAGCCGCTTAAGCGGACTCCAACTCCCACCATTCCTAACAGCCTCGGACCCCTTCCTTTTCCCCCTCAGCCGCTTAAGCGGCTGAAGGGGAAAAGGAAGGGGTCCGAGGCTGTTAGGAATGGTGGGAGTTGGAGTCCAAAGCACCCAGAGGGGCCAAGTTTGCCCAGGCCTGGTCTAAGCCACTCTGTGCTGGCTCTCTGTGGCTTCTTCCACGCTGCTGAATGGATTAAGTTTGACACAACTCGAACTGCCCTGGCTCAGTGCTATGGAGTCTCGGGAGTTGTAGTTCGGAGAGGCTCCACCACCCCTTGGCAGAGAAGGCTGCAAACTGCAACCCCCATCACTCCTCGGCATTGAACCAGGGCAGTGAAAGGGGCGTCAAACTGCACTCATTCTACATACACACACCCTCGAGGAAACGTAGAGGGAGACTCGAGTATTGATTCCCTTTGATCCCCCAGCGCATACAGGATCGCAGATTCCCCGGTCTAATATCCTACAAAGGCGGTGAACGTGGATCCCTATAAAGACGGGAAACTGAGGCGGGAGAATACATTCTGGCCCCGTTTTATACTTGACCGAAGTGGGGACTTTTACACCGACCCCGTGTGAGAGATTTTGTATTCAAACCACAGCCAAAGACTGAGAACCAGGGCGGAGTAGCAAGACTTCGACTCTGTCATGGCCACACACTGGGTGACCATGGGCAAGTCACACTCTCTCAGCCTCAGAGGAAGGCGGAGGCAAATCCCCTCAGAGGAAACCTTGTCAAGAAAGTCCACGTCGGACTTTATTAAAACATCATTGGAAACACGCAACAAGACTAAAGACTTCTACACTTTAGAGTTAATGCAGTTCGACCCCACTTTAAGAGCTATGCCTCAAAGCTATGGAGTCCGGGGAGTGGTAGCTTGACGAGGACTTGAGCCTTCTCTGCTCAAGACCACAAACTACAAGTCACAGGATTCCATAGCCATTGTGCCGTGGCAGTTGAAAATGGTATCAAACTGTATTAACTCTACAGAGGAGATCCACTTATGATCCCTAAAAGTTGCCCCAAGTCCTTCTAGGCAGTGTCCTTGGGCTTCTCAGGCAGAAAGTCCACAGGCGAAGCGCCCAGTTAGAAAGTGTTGCTATGAGTTTTCCGGGCTGTATGGCCATGTTCCCGAAGCATTCTCTCCTGGCGTTTCGCCTGCATCTATGGCAGGCATCCTCAGAGGTTGTGAGGTCTCACAACCTCTGAGGATGCCTGCCATAGATGCAGGCGAAACGTCAGGAGAGAATGCTTCGGGAATATGGCTATAAAGCCCGGAAAACTCACAGCAACCCATTAAAGCCTTCGACAATAGTGATAAAAAGGTTGCAGTTTTAGTTTCGTGGTCTTTCTTTTCTTTTAATGATTATTTTCACACAACCAACACAGCCGGTCGACCAGTGAGTTTGTAGCTCTGAGAGTCCAGTTTAGCTGATTTTGAAGCCTGGGGCTATTTTTCCTGATGTAGTTTAGGGAAGTGAGAAGGGGACTCAGATTCCCAAACTGTACTTAGAAGTTGAGGAGGCAGGGAAAGTTTTGCCTGTCAGCCACCCCCCCCCCCCCAAGTGATATATGTGTTCAGAACTACAACTCCCAGAGACCTCAACACCCACCCAAGACAGACAGCATGGTCTCTAGTCATGCTTATGGGGGATTCTGGGCTCTGTAGTCTGAAGGTGACTCCCCCCCCCCCTCCCCGAGACTAACCAGAAAGGACTTCGTGGGGACTTCGATGCAATTTGGTACTACCTGAACTGTCATGGCTGTGGAATAATGGGTGTTGGGGTTCTACAGTATCCTTAGCCTTCCCTGCCAAAGAGGGCTGGTGCCTCATCAAACTCCCGTGATTCCATAGGCCAAAGCGCTTAAAGTGGAGTCAAACTACATTAATTCTACAGTGTAGACACATCCGCAGATACACAGAGAGAGAGACGGGGGGGGAGGTCTCAGTCTTACAGGGATCATGGTGGGTTAATATGCCCCCCTTTCACAGGTGAAGGACTGGGGCACATGCCTATACACTCTCTCTCTCTCACACACAGAATGGGGGACTTCTGGCTCGAGAGCAGTAAAAAGATCTTGGAGTCCTCGTGGGCAACAAGTTAAGCATGACCCAACAATGTGATGCGCCTAAAGCCAATGGGATTTTGGCCTGCATCAATAGGAGGATAGTGTCTAGACCCAAGGAAGTCATGCTACCCCTCTATTCCGCCTTGGTCAGATCACACCTGGAATATTGTGTCCAATTCTGGGCACCACAATTCAAGAGAGATATTGACAAGCTGGAATGTGTCCAGAGGAGGGCGACTAAAATGATCAAGGGTCTGGAAAACAAGCCCTATGAGGAGCGGCTTAAGGAGCTGGGCATGTTTAGCCTGAAGAAGAGAAGGCTGAGAGGAGACATGATAGCCATGTATAAATATGTGAGAGGAAGTCATAGGGAGGAGGGAGCAAGCTTGTTTTCTGCTGCCCTGGAGACTAGGATGCGGAGCAATGGCTTCAAGCTACAGGAAAGATTATTACACCGGAACATGAGGAAGAACTTCCAGACTGTGAGAGCTGTTCAGCAGTGGAACTCTCTGCCCCAGAGTGTGGTGGAGGCTCCTTCTTCAGAGGCTTTTAAACAGAGGCTGGATGGCCATCTGTCAAGAGTGCTTTGAATGCTATTTTCCTGCCTCTTGGCATGAGGTTGGACTGGATGGCCCACGAGGTCTCTTCCAACTCTATGATTCTATGATTTTAGCCTCACTTGGATCATGCAATGGTCATGTCCAGTCAGATTGTATGACCTTCTCAATAAATCAACAACTAACACTGAAGGATGTAAAATATACTATAATCAATAATAGTATATATAGTTGGCATCGCTCGCCCCGATCATGTAGATATATATT